GAAGCCCACATCAAAAGAATATCATCAGAGCGTATGCAAGGCTGGCTAACATCTGAACTGCCTTTATTATAATTATTTTCTTTAAGGAATCATTCAAAACCTTGTATACCACACATGTAAGACCAATCCTGGAGCATACTGCTCCGGCAGGGAGTCCATACCTTGTCAAGCACAAACCGAAGCTGGAGAAAGTTCAGAGATATGCCACTAGACTAGTCCCAGAACGAAGGGACATGAGTTATGTGGAAATACTGCATGAATATCACCTCACGTAGCTGAAAGACAGAAGAGCTCGGGGAGACATGATCACCATATATAAAATGGTGATCATGGACACAGGGGGAAACTGAGCACCCAAATCACACACCCCACCAAGACCTCCTCGGTGCCTCTCTTCCTATTTTAACCCTGAATATGACTTACATAGCACCGGCAACTTCCCTTCTCTCTGGAAATTCAAGGAATTTCATTTACTTGAATTTCAACCTTTCCTTCACAAAATCCTTTTTTTTTTGTTATCAATTATGGAGCCCAATTCATGGTCTATATACATCGAGGAACCATTGAGGCATTAGAGAACAGAAGCATACTCATGCGTTTGCATCAGACTCGTTACTTATTGCCCAATTAACTCTCTCACACACACGCTCTCTTTCCAAAACATGAAAGCTCTTCACGGCATTTTCAAAAACATTCCACAAAATCAAAAATTCTCTCCAATGTTCTCTATACAGTCAACCTCGTGAACGCTCTATATATCTCTCGTAACCTCCGTCACTTGTTTCCTCTGTCAGCTGCGTCACTGTAGATATCATATCTACGTGACGCAGATATGATATCACGTAGATATCATATCATATCATATCTCTTCCACTATGAAACCATTTTGCTGTACATACCTATGTTCTTAGTTATCCTCTTATCATTTTCCAGTCACTTTGCTGCCATATTCTGCCATATGCTGCCATATGCTGCCATATTCTATCATACGATGCCATATTCTATCGTATGCTGCCATATTTTATTATACGCTGTCATATTCTATTATACGCTGCCATATTCTATCATACGCTGCCATATTCTATCATATGCTGCCATATTCTATCATACGCTGCCATATTCTATCATATGCTGCCATATTCTATCATACGCTGCCATATTCTATCATACGTTGCCATATTCTATCATACACTGCCACATACTATAATACGTTGCCATATTCTATCATACACTGCCACATACTATAATACGCTGCCATATTCTATCATACGCCATATTCTGCCATGCACTGCTTTTATTTTGCCATCCACTGTCATGTTCTACCATACACTAAAACATTCTGCCATAACTGCCATATTCTTCCAGATTCTAGCATATGCTTCCATACTGTGTCACACACTTCCATTTTCTGTCATACAGTGCCACATTACTTTTCTGTCATATCCAAAACTACTTTTCTGTCATATCCAAAACTACTTTTCTGTCATATCCAAAACTACTTTTCTGTCATATCCAAAACTACTTTTCTGTCATATCCAAAACTACTTTTCTGTCATATCCAAAACTACTTTTCTGTCATATCCAAAGCTACTTTTCTGTCATATCCAAAACTACTTTTCTGTCATATCCAAAACTACTTTTCTGTCATATCCAAAACTACTTTTCTGTCATATCCAAAACTACTTTTCTGTCATATCCAAAACTACTTTTCTGTCATATCCAAAACTACTTTTCTGTCATATCCAAAACTACTTTTCTGTCATATCCAAAACTACTTTTCTGTCATATCCAAAACTACTTTTCTGTCATATCCAAAACTACTTTTCTGTCATATCCAAAACTACTTTTCTGTCATATCCAAAACTACTTTTCTGTCATATCCAAAACTACTTTTCTGTCATATCCAAAACTACTTTTCTGTCATATCCAAAACCTGTCCGTTCAGTACTTTTCTCGGACTGGCGATTTTTTCTAGTTGAAAATGACTAATACAGTTCAAGGTCGTATTAGTTTTCATTTGTATAATTTTGTTAATTTAAATTGGTTGCATTATCAGCATCGATTCAACATATGCTAATTTTTGGGAGAGACTGACTATCATAGTATGGAGAACTTTGAAGTTTGTTATTCACTGAAACTCTATATGTACTGAAATGTGTATATTTGTATATCTTATGTACTGAAAAACAATAAGTTTTCCTGCTATCGTTGTTTGGTTTTTAGGTATTGGTAACCCTTTCATTTATATAAAAATAAAAAAAATTATGATATTTCCAAAAAAAAATCCACAACCAGATGATATAGTTATGTAACACATAGAAGGAGAGCAAAAATATAGATATATAGAAAGCCTTTACTATTTTAATCATACATTTTCGTCCCCAACAGTAGTATCAGCTCTTTATACATTCTTGCACAACAAGAACACACACACACACACACACAGACACACACACACACACACAGTATCTCCCCTTGGATACTAAAGGAAGGAGCAGAAGAACTGTGCCTCCCGCTCTCCATGGTGTATAACAAATCACTGGCAACAGGGGAACTGCCAGAAATTTGGAAAGCAGCTAGCGTAGTCCCGATATACAAGAAAGGGGATAGACAGGAGGCACTGAATTACAGACCAGTGTCCCTAAGCTGCATACCATGCAAGTTGATGGAGAAGATTGTGCGAAGAAAGCTAGTGGAACATCTGGAGCGAAAGAACTTTGTAACACAGCATCAACACGGATTCAGGGATGGCAGGTCCTGCCTCACAGGGTTACTTGAATTCTACGACCAGGCAACAAAAATAAGGCAAGAAAGAGAAGGGTGGGCAGACTGCATATTTTTGGATTGTCAGAAAGCCTTTGACACAGTGCCACACAAGAGGCTAGTGAAAAAACTGGAGATGCAGGCTGGAGTGAAAGGGAAGGTACTCCGTTGGATACAGGAGTACCTAAGTAACAGGAGACAACGAGTCAGTGTGAGGGGTGAGGTCTCAGATTGGCGAGACGTTACGAGTGGAGTACCGCAGGGGTCAGTCCTTGGACCTATACTGTTTCTGATATATGTAAATGATCTTCCAGAGGGTATAGAATCGTTTCTCTCAATGTTTGCCGATGATGCAAAAATTATGAGGAGGATTGAAACTGAGGACAATAGTAGGAGGCTACAAGATGACCTAGACAGACTGAGTGAATGGTCCAACAAATGGCTGTTGAAGTTCAACCCGAGTAAATGCAAAGTAATGAAACTAGGTGGTGGAAATAGGAGGCCAAACACAGGATGCAGAATAGGAGATGAAGTACTTAATGAAACGAACAGAGAGAAAGATCTAGGAGTTGATATCACACCAAACCTGTCTCCTGAAGCCCACATAAAAAGAATAACGTCTGCGGCATATGCGAGGCTGGCTAACATCAGAACAGCGTTCAGGAACCTGTGTAAGGAATCATTCAGAATCTTGTACACCACATATGTAAGACCAATCCTGGAGTATGCGGCCCCAGTATGGAGCCCGTACCTTGTCAAGCACAAGACGAAGCTGGAAAAAGTCCAAAGGTATGCCACTAGACTAGTCCCAGAACTAAGAGGCATGAGTTACGAGGAAAGGCTGCGGGAAATGCACCTTACGACACTGGAAGACAGAAGAGTAAGGGGAGACATGATCACAACCTACAAAATCCTCAGAGGAATCGACCGGGTAAACAAGGATAAACTATTCAACACTGGTGGGACGCGAACAAGGGGACACAGGTGGAAACTGAGTACTCACATGAGCCACAGAGACGTTAGAAGGAACTTTTTCAGTGTCAGAGTAGTTAACGGATGGAATGCATTAGGCAGTGATGTGGTGGAGGCTGACTCCATACACAGTTTTAAATGTAGATATGATAGAGCCCAGTAGGCTCAGGAATCTGTACACCAGTTGATTGACAGTTGAGAGGCGGGACCAAAGAGCCAAAGCTCAACCCCCGCAAGCACAAATAGGTGAGTACAAATAGGTGAGTACACACACACACACACACACACACACACACACACACACACACACACACACACACACACACACACACACACACACACAGACACACACACACAGACACACACACACAGACACACACACACACACACAGACACACACACACACACACACACACACACACACACACACACAGACACACACACACAGACACACACACACACACACACACACACACACACACACACACACACACACACACACACACACACACAAACAAACAAGGAATTAACAAAAAATCATATCCTACCCAGTGCTCTCATTAATCAAAAAAATTAAATAAATAAAACTCCAATTTAAACCAGTGTTGTATAATAATGTGTTATCTCGGCTTCTGTTCCATTGAATAATTTAACAACAGTTCTCAATATCTTTATTAGCACACAGCTCGCCAGACCTCACATCTCAGAGACTCGCGGTCTGGAAGCATTCACTCACTTAGGACCCGTAAGGCGACCACACTGTTTTTCTCCTCGTCTTCCTGGTGGCGGGCGACCCGTAAATCAACCCTGATTTTGGGGGGAAAAATTGCTAATTAATTGAATTATTAACAAACCCGGCTGGAGAATGTTACAAAATTACAAGGTTGGGCCCCCTCCTTAATTGGAGTTCTGCGCTCTTCATGGCGGGCGCTTGTGTAAGGGGAAGAAATGGGAAGTGTCTGCTATTACCTCAGGAAATTAATAGGACAGAATCTCAAGTTATCTGGCAGTGTGCAAATCACCAAAACAGTGTGGGGGAGGGGGAGAGGGGTGTTTTTCCGCCTACCTTACCTAGACAGCCTTTCCAAATTATGGGCGGAAAATTTTCCACGCGGCTCATTGAGGAATATTTTAAGATTAACCGCTACTTTAGGCGTGAATATTAACTCACATTTTAATACAAAATGTGTTTTAAACTCTTCTATAATTTTTATGACTGTTCATTATCAATTTGTGAAGAATGTTACGTTGGAATTCTGACCAAAATGTGTGTATGCTCCGTGTGGAGTCTGGTGTGGGTGGAGCATGATGATAGAGGCTCCGTGTGGAGTCTGGTGTGGGTGGAGCATGATGATAGAGGCTCCGTGTGGAGTCTTGTGTGGGTGGAGCATGATGATAGAGGCTCCGTGTGGAGTCTGGTGTGGGTGGAGCATGATGCTACAGGCTCCGTGTGGAGTCTGGTGTGGGTGGAGCATGATGGTAGAGGCTCCGTGTGGAGTCTGGTGTGGGTGGAGCATGATGGTAGAGGCTCCGTGTGGAGTCTGGTGTGGGTGGAGCATGATGGTAGAGGCTCCGTGTGGAGTCTGGTGTGGGTGGAGCATGATGGTAGAGGCTCCGTGTGGAGTCTGGTGTGGGTGGAGCATGATGATAGAGGCTCCGTGTGGAGTCTTGTGTGGGTGGAGCATGATGATAGAGGCTCCGTGTGGAGTCTGGTGTGGGTGGAGCATGATGCTACAGGCTCCGTGTGGAGTCTGGTGTGGGTGGAGCATGATGGTAGAGGCTCCGTGTGGAGTCTGGTGTGGGTGGAGCATGATGGTAGAGGCTCCGTGTGGAGTCTGGTGTGGGTGGAGCATGATGATAGAGGCTCCGTGTGGAGTCTGGTGTGGGTGGAGCATGATGCTAGAGGCTCCATGTGGAGTCTGGTGTGGGTGGAGCATGATGCTAGAGGCTCCGTGTGGAGTCTGGTGTGGGTGGAGCATGATGATAGAGGCTCCATGTGGAGTCTGGTGTGGGTGGAGCATGATGCTAGAGGCTCCATGTGGAGTCTGGTGTGGGTGGAGCATGATGCTACAGGCTCCGTGTGGAGTCTGGTGTGGGTGGAGCATGATGCTACAGGCTCCGTGTGGAGTCTGGTGTGGGTGGAGCATGATGCTACAGGCTCCGTGTGGAGTCTGGTGTGGGTGGAGCATGATGCTACAGGCTCCGTGTGGAGTCTGGTGTGGGTGGAGCGTGATGCTACAGACTCCGTGTGGAGTCTGGTGTGGGTGGAGCATGATGATAGAGGTACATTATAGGCCACCAAACCTTCCGAAAAAAAATATAAGAACAAAATATGTAAAATTAAGATTTTTCGAATTAATAATCACTTATGAATCATAAGTGTTCATTATATTTCACTTATTCACTTAAAAGAAACATATGATTTCACTTATATAAAATCTCAACCGACTGTTTACGATCCTTAGGTCACGGGCTGTCGACCCTTGTTGGTAGAAGGCCTAAAATTAGTACTAAGGGCCGCATCTTAGGGCATAAGAACGGTGCACAATTTTAAGGGTATTTAAGGGTATTGGTGGGGGGGGGGGATGGCTGGAAGGTTGGGCTTAGCCTCATTGAACTTTGTATGGGGACTGACTGGAGCTAAGTGGCTGTTATAGGTGGGTCAGGGTCGGCCCTCATTGTCCCCCCTTAAAGGAGGACTGGCTCCCGTGGCGACCAGAGTGAAGACTGAAATGATCGTTTTTGCTCATGGAGTTTATGAAGGTGTCTATAATATTATATATATATATATATATATATATATATATATATATATATATATATATATATATATATATAAATATATATATATATATATAACTGAATGATGAGTTCCTCATCATTCAGTATCTTCTTAATTTCTTTGTGTGCTTCTTGAGGTAGGGATGGGGGGGGAGGATTTCCCTGATTGGGCTGCATACTCTAGAATTGGTCTCATGTAGGTGGTGTACAGATTTAATTCCTCCTCATTTAAGTTTTTCTGAAGTCTGTTTTGATGTTCTCCAATTTAAGTCATGCCGTGCGTCTGTGTGTGCGTGTGTGCATGCGTGTGTGCGTGCGTGTGTGCGTGCGTGTGTGCGTGCGTGTGTGCGTGCGTGTGTGCGTGCGTGTGTGTGTATGTATTTACTATTTCTATATGCTATTTGTGCCTGCAGGATTAAGCAGTTAGCTCTTGGAACCCGCCTCTCTCTCTTTCTGACTGTGTGGTGTTTATGTTTGTGCAGTCACTTAATTATAGTTACCAAATTGTGTTTGAGGGGGAAAGAGCTTCAGCTCTTTGGTCCCGCCTCTCAACTGATACGCGTATGTGTACTCACCTAGTTGTACTCACCTAATTGTGCTTGCTGGGGTTGACCTTCGGCTCTTTAGTCCCGTCTCTCAACCGTCAATCAACAAGTGTACAGATTCCTGAGCCTATTGGGCTCTATCATATCTACACTTGAAACTGTGTATGGAGTCAGTCTCCACCACATCACTTCCTAATGCATTCCATTTACTAACTACTCCCACACTAAAAAAAATTATTTGTAATATCTTGATGGCTCATTTAGGCACTCAATTTCCACCTGTGTCCGGGTTAGTCCCCTAATGCGTATGCCCTTTGTGTTAAATAAACTGTCTTTCTCTACCCTATCAATTCCTTTGAGTTGTAGTATGTGTGTGTGTGAGCCTGGGTTTGTGTATGTGTGTGTGTGTGTATTTACTATTTGTATTTGCAGAATCGAGCTATTAGCTCTTGGACCCCGCCTTTCTAACCAATTTATTTGTCCTCTATTATGCTTACTACGCATACTTCTCTCACACGCACACACACACACAATCACCAGGAAGCAGCCCGTAGCAGCTGTCTAACTCCCAGGTATCTAGTTACTGCTAGGTGAACAGGAGCATTAGGGTGAAAGACTGATTTGTTTCAGCCTCAGCCGGGGCCCGAACCCGGGCCTTCAGGACTACGACCCCAGAGCGCTGTCCACCCAACCGTGAGGTCCTGCCTGTGTGTGTACTTACCTAATTGTACTTACCTAATTGTGCTTGCGGGGGTTGAGCTCTGGCTCTTTGGTCCCGCCTCTCAACCGTCAATCAACTGGTGTACAGATTCCTGAGCCTATTGGGCTCTATCATATCTACATT